GGGGGAGCTCCAGAGGGCCCTTCCAGCCCTCACCAGTCTGTGAAAAGAGTGGCCTGGAGCTGGCTACCGTGTTCCCTCTAAGCCTGCGAAGCCACTGGCCGCCTCCGTAAGGGAGGACCGATGTCCCTGCAGCTACGGCAAGCCACAAGCACTGAGGTGCCACAGCAGCAGCAGAATGGTTTCAACCCTTGTGGCCTGATTAAAAAGGAGACTGAAATGAGGCAGTCCCATCAAAACAGCAGCTCTCTCCCTCCCAGCCTGGACGCCGAGAGGATTGATGGCGTAAATGGGTTCAAAAGCCATTCACGGTCTGTGCAGAGAATGAGCCACACAGCGCTGCCCGTAGAGCGCAAGCTGGGGGGTGACTCTGAGGAACCCGCACGTCCCACGCTTCCAGCTGCACGAGGAACACGGGCAACGCCACCACACACGGACTCCCCAGGGAGGCAGGACTCTTCCCAGTCAGCTTTTGAGACCCCCGATTTGCTCACCCGTTCACGGAGGAGGGAGATGCAGAAATCCACCTCCTTTTGACGAAGCACCTGGAGCTGAGGCGTGCTGTGATGGTCCACGATGAGCCGTAGGTACGTGTACACCGCCATGGCTATCAAGAGGCTGCTTTTCAGTACCCACTCTCTGGAAAGGGAGAAATAAAAAGAAAAACACCTTCAGTCACCTGTGTGAGGGAAACCACAGCCAGAAATGATGGAGTGGAGACTCCAGGGGAGACTCAGGACAGGGGAAACTGAGGCACCAAGGAAACAGCAAGGGCAGGGAGTCCAGCCTGTTGTGCCAGCCTGGACAGTGTTATCCACGGACCATTCCCTGCTCCGTACTGGATGCCTCCTACGCTTGGTCCACCTCTTTCTCCCCCAAGACAGTCCCATCACAGTCTACCGTCGGGGTGCTCGCACCCCGAGCTCTCCGGCAGGGTGGCAGACGAGCTCAGGCGAAGCGCCGGGTGGATTTCCAGGGCCACGGAGACGTTCGCTGCCACAATAATCTGAGATATTCACAACTGCAAGCAACAAAGTGCTCGGCAGCGAGCAGAGGGAGCAGCTTGACCTAACACTGACCGCCACAGGACCCTCTTAATTGGTCTCCATAGCCAGAACGGCACCGAGCAAGAGACAACGCACCAGGACATGCCACCAAGGACCTTCCCGTGTGATCAGACCCCAAACGCTCTCATGCATACCCGTGCAGAGCTGGTTTTGTGCTCCCCTGCCACCAGCCTGCCAGCGCCAAGTGGATTAATCCAGCAAAACTAGCGGCATCCTGAGCAGCAGGTCGCGCCAGGCAGCTGTTAACGAGATATGGCAGCTGTTAACGAGATAGGGAGGCTCTCGGGCCCCGCGCTGGGCCGGGAAGCAGCTCCCGCAGCGCTGGGGGCGGAAGAGCTGCCTCTACCTCCAGCTTGACCAGGCAACGGAGCGTGGGGCAGAAGGAAAAGAGCAGTCACAACTCCTGGGGAGCTAGAAGCACCCAATGGCAAGAACTGGGAAAAAACAGATGCGCTCAAGATCAAATTATTAGGGAGATTTGCGAGAGCTGCGTAGAGGGTCTGCGGTGGGAGAGACATCGCAGCGCCGTCGTGGACACGGCAGGAATCCGTCCTTCCTCGGGGAAGGACAGGGGGAAGCGGTGCTCTGGTCTGCACAGGGCTCTGTACCCAGGCCTGGCTTTCTAGAAGCAGATTTATTTCTCAGCCAACCGGCTTCGCATCCCCAGCGTGCTTCAGCTCTGCTCCCTGCGAGCGGCAGAGCCCAGCGGCAAAGCCTTTCCACGGGCTGCTCCGCCGCCGTCTCCTGCCCGCGCTGCCCTGCCTGCTCCGTGCGGCAGCGCCCCGTCTGCTGGGCGCGCCGCGTTCTCAACCTCCCTTATCTAAGCGCAACAAGAAATAGTCTCGGTTCATAAAAAGGACCTCGTCGGCTCGGTTATTTGCGCCGGATGCCAAGAACGGGCGACTCGGTGCCTCCAGCGTGATTGATCACCCACAGCATCCCCTGGCTGTAAATCAGAAGTCCCGTGGAAGCACCACCGCTGCGTGCAGCAGCTGTAAACGCCGCGGCCACCTGAAGGGACACCAGCCCAGCTGGCAAATGACTCAGTTGCCCTAAATCATCTCGGGGAGGAGATGAGGGGGAGCCTGGGAAGATGTGACAAGTGGTGGCTTTCCCAGGCTCTCCTCCCTGCATCCAGTTGGATGG